CCTCCCCGCCAGTCTTGGCGTGTCCGGACTTTGAACAACCTTTTGTCGTGGAGACCTATGCATCCTCGGTCGCAGTCGGAGCTGTTATGGCCCAACGAAAAGAGGACAGAAAAGTCCACCCGATCCAGTACGCAAGTCGCACGATGACGTCAGCCGAGAGGAAGTATTCCGCCTGTGAGCGAGAGGCCCTGGCTGTGATCTTCGCTTTGAAGAAGTTCCGAGTTTACCTGCTTTCAACACAGAAGTTCACGCTAATAACAGACCACCAAGCCCTGCAGTATGCCTTTAAGAAGAAAGACATTCACGAGAGGTTGGCAAGGTGAATGGACTTCCTAGCAGGGTACGCATTCGAAATTAAGTACCGCCCGGGAGGAAAGAACTGTGCAGCTGACTTCCTGTCCCGCCGGAAAGCCAAGGGCGAGGATGGAGTCGACTCTGACGACGAGAGAGATCTTGTCTGCAGTGTTTCGGATCCTCTAGAGGCGCAAATGGAGTGGGACCCCATCTTATTGACATTTCAAGGTACCTCGGGGGCATTGATATGAGGGAAGTGGATGTTCGTCACGTCGGCTCAACCGCCGAAGCGCCAAACGTTTCATGGCTTGTAATGGACAACTGTTCCGTAGGACCAACAATGGATTATGCGCTATCCGCCTATAGGGGCTCGCAGAAGGATCATAACAGCCTTTCACGACGAAATAGGCCATTGCGATCTGCAAACGACGAAGAGATTCGTCTTGGACCGATATTGGTGGCCTGCCGTCCACTGAGACGTGAACGACTACGTTCGGGGTTGTGACGGTTGTCAGAAAGCCACACCAATTCCGAAGTACAAGACCATCCTTCGATTTCCCATGACTTCGTTATTTGATACATACCCTATCGATTTCGCGGGACTATTGCCTCGTACGCCCTCTGTAGGGAGGCACATCCTTATTGCCGTGGAGCACCTGACTGACTGGCCAATTGCAAGGGCCACCGTCACCTCGACGGCAGAGGAGGTGCTGAAGTTCGTGAAAGAAGAGATAATCCACTGTTTTGGGTTACCACGTGTCGTTGTCTCGGACAACGCTATTTGTTTGACAGCGTCGGTCCTGAATGCCTTCATGGCACGAAACAGGATTAAGTGGAAGACAGTGCTCGCCTATGCGCCTATGTAGAACGGACGGGCAGATCGGATGGTCGGGACATTGAAGAGAGCAGTCCATAAGATGATACTCGGTGCCTCTCCTGCAATTGTTGAGTGGGACGATGCTTTACGTCAAGTCCTATATGGATACCGTCGCAGGAGGATGGCGGTGGGATTTTCCCCGTTCGAGCTGCTTTATGGGGTGCTGCCCAGGATGGCTCCTGGAGACCAAGAGCCTCTCTTCGGAGTCTCCGAGATCCGCCACCGGGAAATGGAACTCCTGCCAGCCAGGGCGATGCGAGCAACAAGAATAATCGGGCGCAGAGCTGCAACCACATTAACAGACGGTCGCGAAGCAACTTTCAATATGGGCGACGATGTGTTGGTCCCAAAAGGGGCCGCCCTCGGGCCCATGCAGAAATGGCCTATCGCCTTGTCGAAGTTCTATGGCCCATGCCGAGTTGCTCGTGAGCCCCATCCGCGGTACACCCTAGTGTCGCCGCATGGACGCTACTCGAGAAGGGAGATACATGCCAGAAGGCTGGTCCTCTACAAGAGGCAACCGTCGCACCTTCAGTGAGACAAATGACTAGGGATTTTTACTCTTTGAATTGAAAGATAGTGAAATACATATAAAGTGCTGATTACTTGCTACGAGTAGGTAAAGAGTGGGTCATGGAGACAATGGGAATCACCAATGACCTCTATTGCTGAATGGAACTTCCCGAACCCCGAATCGCGGCTTTCTTGTGTGCTCTGCGGCTACTTACGCGTCCAATTCTGCTCCTTTTCTTCTTGGAAGGGGTGACGACGAGAACTTGGCGCAGTTCGGAGACGCCAACGAAGATCCCGTCGGCTCCAACGCATGCTTTGACCGCGCCGGCGCAGACCCGAAGCGGAAACTCCTCCATACAACCAAGTACAATGGAATGTATGGTCGAGACGCAGATGCTGTGAATTATGTGGGGCAAGCCTTCTAAAGTCGCGACAAAGACACCCGGTTCGAGTCTCAAGAGGAGTCCGAGAGATGGACTACGAAGACCCGACTCGCGGAGAGCGACTTCATCTTGATTAAGGTGTTTTGCAGCGTCATGGAAATCTCGGATTCGACGCGACAGAGAGCCGATCCTCTCAAAGAGGAGGCTGTTGCGGACTAAAAGATCCCAGTACTTGACGGCAAGGTTCGGGAACCCTAGTAGTTAGAGACCGTTGCAGACGGCGGCGAATATGCACATGTCACTATTATCTCGGAACCGCACGGTCCCGTGTGTGGAAACGCGGTAGATCGGAGTCCGAGGATTGACCGCCTTGGAACGACCATGGATCATCTTCAGACTCCTACCCTTTTGATCAGTGCAAAAACGGTCAATACTTAAGAAGCCACTAATTCGATCTCTCCCACCAAATTGGAAGAGATCATCAACAATCTTGTGAGTTGTACTATTCCCGGTTCGGGAAATTGCTAGAGTGTATAGCAAAATACGGTGACGAAGGTTGGTTGCGGCGTTGACGCCATACTACGTGTTGTCAACGTCGAGATAGATGGACTCAATATTCCACTCACCGTCGCCTATAAGACAGTACTGGTTTGTGTCCGACAACGACTCTGTGAGACCAAGACGCCACATTTCTTCCAGAGAAACCTCTTCATCTTGCTTGCCGTGAAGCAGGGCGGTAATATGATCTCCTAGAAGGCTTTTGAACTCTTGTTCTGTTACGGCGTAACGGCGATGCCCGCTGGCCACCCAAATGCGGAATATGGAGCCCGTCTTGGAAACTTTGGTTACATCTGTTCGAGATGAGAGCTCCAATATGAAGTGACTGCGGCTGGCGACGCATGAAGCTTTCAGAGCAAGCTGCTTCCGTGAACGCTTACCTCCCGTGCTCTTCGCCGCTGTCTGCTTGGTCCTCGCCATCGTATTACGCTATGAGGGGGGCCAAAGAGGGCACGCGGGGACTTAAACCCCATCTGCGTGCCTCTCGATTTGGTGGGCAACTAGAAGTCTAAGATACGACGAGGAGCATGGAGGCAACACGGAAGAGCTGCGAGAGCTAAGCAGCGCAGGAAGCAGGAGGCCAGAAGAGCTAAAATGAGGCTGGGATGGAGCGAAAAAGGCGACCGGAGAGTGAAAGCAGATACCACAAGAAGGGAAGGGGGGTCCGAGCCCCAGGTCTGTGTTGATATAGGCTGGAGGGTGAAGAAAAATCAAAATCAAAGGTAAAATTTGAGTGGTCGGAGCCCGTGGCCCCGCCTCAGTGGGGGGTTGTGTGACACGTGGTTGGGACCGGTGTAAGTAATTGGAAGTTTAAGTTAGTAATTATAGACAGTGCGCAAAAAGAGTATAAATGCGGTAGGTTTCGGTCGTCCTGTACGGCCGAGGGCAGACACATGACAGAAAACACACACGGGTAAGACACGGGGACGACGCATCCCGTTTTCACCCCAACAATGATGATAAAAAAAGTGACAAGAAGACGTCAGAAATGGGGATAGGTGGTGTTGGTAAGGTCTTCTGCCCGTTTTTCTCCCCTGGGGACCTCCGGGAGCTTCCACCCTGGGTTCCCCCGTTTCTTTATAGCCGCCATGCTTCCGCGTGGAAGTGTGCGCGGAACAATCTTGAAAACCTTGAAATTGCAACTAAAATCTAATGCGAAAAATCAAAACATTAATCAAGCCCACAGGTCGGAAAGACAAGTAGACAGAGAGAGGAATCGAGAGGGTAGCCCGAGCACCTTTTGTAGAGCAGCGGCAGAGCAGGAAGCGTGAGACGCTCGGCAGGCTGACAGCATTACAGCTGCTCGCTACTTTCAGTAGAGCTTCACCAATGTACACGTGTACTGTACGCAAGTGTACACGTTCCCTAGGGTGAGTCGGCTACAGTATCTCCACCAATCCTCCCTCGCTTCATTTCCCATTCGATGCAGCTTCCCTTGCCCCATCCATGGCAACCGCCTCGTACAGTACCCTTGGTACCATTTGCCCTTCGCGCCCACGGCCGGCGACCTGCGCGGTCTTCCGGCCCCAGCCCGAGCCCCCGTGCCCTATTATTTCCCTTCACCATGGGACATACTGTACCCACAAGGATACTGCTACGAAACATCCAGTTGCCAATTGGCGAAATGGACACAACTTGTGGCTGGCGCCCCCAATTCCGCGCCCGTTCTGTCCCGCATTCCCTCCCTTTCCCGCCTTTCGCTTGCCGTCTCTTGGCGGTACTGTATACGCATGCGTTCCGCTTCGTGGTACCCTTGGGTACGCGTGTCCACCTCGCCAGATGGCAACTGGATGTATCTCCTGTCCTGTGAACAGTTGCTCCCACTGTAAAGCGCTTCTCCTTATCATCCTTCTCTGCCCTCCCGCGCCTCTTGGAGCTCGAAACGGCCCTCGGCGGACAATCGCCGCCCGGCACCCAATCACGCCTGCTCCGTTCCGCCTCTTGCGCGCCACACGCCGTTTCGACCCGCCGCCCGTTCGCCTCGTTGATCTCCGCGAGCGCGCACCTCACCCGCCTCACCCGCCTCCCGCTGCCCCCCCCGGCGCTCCACCTTCATCGCCGACGGTCCGTGCAGCGTCATCGCATGGATGGCGCTCGCCTCGCCGAGGTCACCAACCGAGGTCGACGCCCACCTCACCGACCTGGTCGATCCACGCACCGAACCGCTGAAT